CTTTTCTTCCCTCTACTCTACCTTGCATGATGACTTGTAGCAGAGAGTATTTATCGTTTCGGAGTATGTGGCCCAGATACGATGTTTTTCTTATTTTAATTGTGTTCATAAGCTTTCTGCCATGTCCAACTCGTCTTAACACTTCCTCATTTGTGACTTTTGCAGTCCAAGGAATAAACAATGAATAAACTAATCAAATAGAGTAATTTCATATCATATCACATATCAATAAAGTCATACCTATATTATACGAAACAGGAGAACTAACCTTAGTCCTCTTTTTAATAGATTAGCTGTGTATGCAAATGATACATAAAATGCAATTAAATATTTAAAACGTATGGCAAAAGCACACTATTCAAGGCTTTTCAGTACTCATGTTTCCTTAATTTTAATATTTAAATTGATAATATCCTTAATATTTTGATGTGGCATGCTCAGTGCGGGTACAAGTTTACAATCCAATTACCAAATTAGTTGTTAAAAATTTATCTAGCTTTAGAGAAAATGCTTATGGAACAGGGTTTCGTTCCGATGGTAAATTAATATCAACAGGTGGAGAAGAAACAAATGTGAAGTTGTTTAATGTATCGTCAAAAGTTTATTAAGGTTATTTAAAGGATATACTGCACCTCTACATAGAACACACTTCCTCCATGGCAAAGCACAAATTTCGACATTCTCAGATGATAAAACCGTCAAAATATGGGACATTCCAACAGAAAAAAACTTATTCACCTACACAGGTCACACTGACTACATAAGAGTAGGAAAAACTTGTGCTGGTGTTCCTTACATAGTGATCTCTGGGAGATATGATCACAAAGTAAAGGATACCAGGACAGAGGAGGTAATTACAGTTGATCATGGAAATCCAGTGAAGTCACTACTCTTTCTACCTGTAGGGAGAATATTTTTGTCTGCTGGTAGAACAGAAATCAAAATTTGGGATAGTTTGGCTGCTGGAAGACTTTTGGGTAATATTTTTCAACATCATAAAACTATTACATGTCTTCAATTAGCTTCAGATAATAAGAGATTTCTCTCTGGAAGTTTAGACAGGCATGTGGAAATATATGATGTTTCTACCTTTAAAACTGTAGATACATTAATTTTCCTAACGCTAAAAGAAAACTACTAAAAAGGTTTCTGTTTATTAATTTATCAGCAATACGCATCACTAAAATTATGAATTGGCATTAAATATTTAATAAAGAATGGTGAAATATGCAGTATCAACATACATAACAAAATATTTAAAGAATAACGTAACTATATAGTCTCTCGTATTATTGTGAACTTTCTTAACTTGAAAGTACAACTTGAATCGGCTGACAGTATAAACAAAAGTACTAATAAATTAGATACAGCTGTAAAGAAGTTGAACAGAACCTTTGACTCAGTCAAATCTCTTATGATGACGGCTTGAGTCCAAGTAATTTGCTAAGGTAGTGAGAAACAACTTAGATTCCCAATAGGATAAACCAGATCAACTTAGAACTCTAAACGGGATAAACTGAAATTAACTGGGGACAATATGAAACTACCGCAGACTAACTTTCAATCCCCAAAGCACAAATCGAACTTCACTTACATCTTGAGGTACAGCGGAAAATGAAATAGAGATCCATAGAGATACCTTCCCTTGAGTTGGCAACCCCCTGGGAGTCTTGCGTTACCATGATGTAAATCTGTTTAAAACTATATCATTTAAATTAATAACAAATATGTATTAATTAACAACGTTAACATCATTTATGTACCGCCATATTTAGTGGCTTCCCTCATGTATACACTAAAGGACAATTTTAGAATATATATACTTTTTATAAATAATATACTTTTTCAAAATAAACGTTTTTATGATTCATGATATACAGCAAACTACAGGAATTTTATTTTCCTTGTGAATTTTTAAACTAGTAGTAGAAAAAGATCAACAACACGTTGGACACATTAATGATCCATGTAGATATGAAGTACATGGGCTGATTCGTACGTATAAAATGTAACAATGTGCCAAAGTCTTCAGCAGAGCTACAATAGCATAGTGTCACCATACTCGTGTCAATTTTTTTAGACAGTAATATTAGAAGCAGCATGTTTATCCTGTCCATATGACTTTGTACAAGTTGCCCTGCACAATCTGGTATCGAAACTCGAAAAGCGCATTTACTTGAAAGAAGTGACTCTTGTAGAATTAAAAAGTAGTGCAATCACAAGCAGGTGAATTATTAGGATGCCACAATGCAGAATAATATCCGTAGAAAAGCATAAAATGATTATCAACTCATGGGGACTAAAAAATGCCCTCAAGGAGGAGTTTTTGTAGCTTTTATGAACACTCTAAAGTGATTCAAGCTAAAGTAATAACTGGCACATGATAACAGGGAGTCTTCATTTATCCTCGTGTATATTTATATACAATATACCTACCACTAATTCTAATGGCCTTCTTTATATTTTTATTTTATGTGATAAATTAGCTAAGTCAACTTGTTTTTATGTTACTTCCAGAAGAAAAATGAAAATACAAATACTTAATATATATTTCATCGCTCTTAGTAACACAGGAATTATCATAAATTTGAATTTACGTCATAAAAATATCTGTGAAACAGTTTTAACCTATATTCAAGGCACTTTTATTAAATGTTAACGACCGAATACTTTCTATCATAAGGCAATGTATTGTACGCATTTTAGTTGTTTTATAAATACACAATGGATAAAATTTGGTTATAAAAACTATTTAAAGTACAAATACAAACACAAAATAGTATCAAATCGGCACAGAAAATTGTTGCATACTGTCTAAACCAGCCGATTATTCTTTATACGATTTTTCTTTACATCTTCTCTACATTCAGAGAACAGAACAGCAACGAATCTAATGTTAACTTAAATTTTAATAATGGAAGCCGAGAAAATACATTTTTTTATACCGATTATGCATTACTATTGCTATTAACATTGTGTGTAAAACTATCTACAAAAGTACATAAACAAATATATCTCATTTAGAGGAATCGAATTTTTTGGGCCTAACGTTTGATTACAAATTAAACTAGAAAACCCACAATACGAATTTATACTAACTTTCAAAATAGAATAAACTTACTGAAAATTCTATCCAGTAATATATGGGGAGCTGACTCTAGTATTCTGCTTAACCTCTACAAATCAATTATTCGCAGTAAACTGGACTACGGTGCAATATGCTACGATACAGCAAATAAAACGTTCCTAAAAAACCTTAACACAATTCAAACAACAGCTCTAAGATTAGCCGTCGGTGCCTTCAGAACCAGTCCTGTAAGCAGCTTACAAGTAATATCAAGAGAACCCCCTCTACATCTAAGACGACATCTACTTAGTTTAAAATATGCAGCAAGAATATCTTCCAATAAAAAGCACCCATTATATTCTGAGATTATTAACGCACCTACATCCAATTTGTATAGAAACAAACAATATAAAAACAAACCCTTTAGGGAAAGAATCAATCAAAAAGGATTCAATTGCAATGAATTCAAATTATCCATAACCACAAAATTAGACTTCCCTCCATGGCTTATCCCCATACCTATCACATATTTAACTTTAACACAGTACCCAAAAATACCACAAATCCTAACCTTATCATTAATGCATTCAAAGAAATTATGGAGAAGTATCCAAATCAACACATAATATACACAGATGCATCAAAAACTGAAAATGGCCATGCTGCAGCCTTCACAAATAAAAATTACAAATATGCCATTAGAATTCCACAGCACTGCAGCATTTACACCGGGGAAACCACAGCGATATAAGAAGCTATCAAAAACTCCTCTACAACGACTGAAAATAATATTTTAATCATCACAGATTCACTCAGCGCAATTCATGGAATTAATCAACTTTACCCTAGCCATCCTATTGCACAAAATATACGAAATGAACTTAATGCACTACACCATATAAATAAAAAGGTTACATTTATCTGGATACCTTCACACATTGGCATTAAAGGCAACGAGGAAGTTGATCAATTGGCATTAAAATCCATCAAAAATGAAAATGTTCCAGAAATTACTAAATATCCCCACAATGACCATAAACGACAGTCCATGAATCGTATAATAAACTTATAGCAAGCAACCTGGGATGCAACAGACTCTAAGTTGAAAACAATAAAGCCTCGAGTAGACGCCAGCCTACCACAACAAGGAAAAAGAAGAGATCAAGTGATCGTAAATCGTCTTCGAATCGGCCACACAATACTAACACACCAAAACACCTTCTAAATAAGAAACCAGCTCCAATTTGTACCTACTGCTCTACTCAACTCACCGTGAAGCATCTAATAGTCGACTGTCCGCAGTTCCAACCTCAGAGAACATGCCAAGTAATTAGTGGAAACCTGAGAAGTGCGCTTACGACAAATATCTCAGATTTATTGCAGTTTCTAAAAGACATAAACATTTATAATAAACTTTAATTTATCAAACTGTACTACTGTGTATGTCCCCCACTAATATCCCTTGGTGGTTGATGTGGGTTTTGTATGTAAATAAAAAAAAAGTACATAACACAATTTATCCCATTATACATTAATTCAAGGATTAAAATATTGGCGCCAATAAACAAAAGAATATTATTACCTGAAATATAATATTGAACTTCAACCAACTGTCTAGATACTTTCTTTCTTTTGTTATGTTAATAATGACCATTGACTTATTCTAACGTTCAAAATAAATTCGTCGCTTTCCTAACAAACAAATTGATTCTATTTAAATATTGACATTCCTTAGCTGCATTCCAAACAAAGCAATAAAATTAAGAAATTTTTGGGATTCGTGTTACGTTACCAAAATAATATATTGAAATTTCGTGGAATAAGACATCAAATCTAAGAATCACTTGCAATCTTACCGTCTCCTGTTTATCAGATAAGATAACCATTGTGTCTACAACAGGTAAGGTCTTTACCTTCAATTCGCCGTGGTGTCAGTCGTCACTCAAGTCTGAAAATGTGAGTTGGTCAGCGGAGGAGCGGCAAATTTTCGATATTCAAATATCTATTCGGTTTTTTAGTTTAAGTAGTGATTTGATAAACTTCTGATAATAAGTAAGTGATGGCGCAACATTCTGAGTATTCGTTTTCGGTTAGGCGACATAGGCCTGCTAATTTTACGTTTAGTTCAAATGAGGATCGCCAAAAGAGTTATAAGAGTAGTACTGTTGAAGAGCACACAACTACTATTAAGGAAAACCCGAGGAAATACTCGACGTACACGTTTACTAGCAGGCGACGACAAGATGTGCCTTCCTTCGAAGAAAGAATGAAATTTTTTAGGGTATGTATCGTATAACAACCATTTATGTACATAATGTCAAATTTAGAAGCATTTAGTGTTTACGATTATTGTTCTAGTAAATAATAAAATGGATAGATAATCTGTTTTTATCGGAATTTAAGATTAGCGTGTTGGTGGAGGTTAACATTTAATACGTTAACAATTTTGGTTATTTGAGTAACGCATGTTGACAATTTATTGCTTTTTCTTGATCCGTGAGTTTTAAAATGTTCATAAATTATTATAATTTTTTAATATGTTACTTTTTACAGTACTATAAAATTGGAAAAGTTAGGAATATACCTTTAATATACAAATTGAATTGCTCTGAAAATAATTTTAAGACTTACAAACTTATAATTATAGAGTATCATAACTGAAAATAACAAAGAAACAACAATTAAAAGCTATTAATTAGGTTTTGTTATCATTTCTCATTTATAATATTCACTTGTCACTGTCACTCGTCTCTTACGGCTATCTCAAGCTGCTTGGTAATCTTGCATTCCATCTGTAAGGCGGTAAAATTTAAATTTAAGAAAATCTCTTCTTCCTTCTTGTATTTAGGTTTTAAAACCTGTTTCTTCTCCAATATTAGCCTCTTAAATTGTTTAAATTGTCGCACCTACTTTTTCTTGGTCTGCCAATACTTCTTCGTCCATTTGGTGACTTATCTCGTGCTATTCATACTATCCTCTTCCATTCTACTAATGTGTTTGTTCCACTCCTGTTTCCGTTTTTTCACCCATCTATTTATGTCTTCTATGTTGCATGCTCTTCTTATGTTTTCGCTTCTCTCCCTATCCAACAGACTTTTCCCTGATATTCGTCGGAGTATTTTCATCTCTGTTGTTTCTCGTAGTTGTCTCGTTTTAGATGTGTCAAGTCTTGTCTCCGCCGTGTATGTTAATATAGGTCTAATTACTGCTTTATAGATTCTTGTTTTTGTGTCTTGTCTTAGGTGTTTGTTCTTCCAGAGTGTGTAATTAAAAGATCCCGCCGCTTTACTTGCTTTTAAGCTTTGTTGTAGTACTTGTTCTTCAACATATCCGTAACTAGTTATATATATTCCAAGATATCTAAACCTTGCTTCCTGCTTTATTATTTTCCCATCAATTTCGATTTTATAGCGTAGAGGGTATTTAGATGTTGTCATACATTTGATTTTTTCTGCTGATATTATGATATTGTATTTCTTGGCTGTTGTATTAAAGATGTATGTTAATCTTTGGAGCTCGTCTTCTGTCTGAGCGATTAATGCAGCGTCGTCTGCATAACATAATATTTGAATTTCTTTGTTCCCCATTCTGTAACCATGACCCTTATGTCACTAGCTCTTTCACATAAGGCTTTTATGTTGTCTTCCATTTTGAACCCAAACCCAATCTTTTTGAAACCTTTAGAGACTTATCTTGGAAATTTTGAATATATTTGTCTTTTAATTTTGTTAACAACGTTTCTACAGAATTGGATTCTTTCCTTAAACGTATTTTATTTATAGTGTCTCGACTTTTAAACTTACAACCCTCAGGAAGATCTTTTAACACGGATTTGAGTTTTGTGTCACTAATACACAATGCATCACACACATGTATATGTGCGGATTGAACAGTTTGGTTTAGTGCTTTAAGCATAATGTGCAGAATTTATTGGAGAAAGCTTCTTACAGCTTCCATGAATGGGTTCTTGAAGAACCTATGTTCCTGGTTCTTCTGGTTAGTTCTTCACATTTTAAGTGACTATCTAGACGTTTACGTACTGCTTGTATTATTTTGTCCATTATTATATTAAAGAGAAGTGGGCTTAACGAGTCACCCTGTCTGACTCCGCTTTCTACTGCTATACACTGTGTTAGTTTTCCATTTATCTTTGCCTGTATTTGGTTATGGAAGTAAATATTTTCGATGGTTTGTATAATATTGATTGGTATGCAATTGGTTCGCAATCCATCCATTGTACGTTGTTCACTGTTCGATAGCTCTGTGGGGACGTGAAAGTAGGACCCATCGATCGAACTGTGGAGGTACGTGGACATAATCTCTATAGCTACGTCTTTAAAAGCAGTCGTCAATTATTTATCTACTTTAAGAGGACCAAAAGAGACTTTTGATGAGCAATTTACGTAGACCCAATCTGAAAACATAAGGTAATCGCAATAATATGTACAAGGTTAAGAATTTTCTTTTGGCAAGTTCAAACGATACACCTAATTGCCATTAATAACACAAATACTTGAATGTCACTTTTTAGCTAAATGCGTACAAATATTACGCTGTATAGATAAGATAAGAAGTTAAAATACTAATATATATTTACAATTGCCGCCTCTTTAGATCGTATAATTTATACACGTGAATTAACGATATACCTACACATTAAATCTTGCGCTATTATATTGGTTTGATATTGGTTATTTATGTAAGATGGCAGTATTTAATAAAAACGTTGTTTTATATTTTTCCATTATGTTTTCATTGTATTTCTACATATTTGTGTTGCCTTAATTCCTCGTAATTGATTATTTCCTTATAATAATTCCTCTTGTCTAATTTTTGTTCTTCATAGACTCCTTCGATATTTCTCAGTTTCAATCTTATTTTTTTTTTTCATTCATTTGTTTTAAAAGAGTTACGTATAGTACATTTCACGAATTTAAGACTATTTTGTATTGGGGGTGAAAGCTCTGACTTAAACGGTCCTCTGTGCTGAGAAAAAATAGCCTTCCAATCTCCCAATATTTAAAGCACTGTTGAAGACAACGGAAAAAACAGTTTTAACTGATAATGTACCTTACATTCATTTAGAGAAATATACAATTATTGGTACTTAAAAATTTTCTTAATGAGAAAATGGAAACACTGTCGTGGTTATCTTCATTTGGGTTTTAAATTATGACTGGATTAATTGCTTCAATTCGATTTTCACGTCTCCAGCATTATTCTATTGACTTTTTACATTCCGGCACACTTTTTTTTCCCAAATTAAGGAGTAGCAGTATTCAATACCTCTTGCCATGTTTCGAAATCCCCCAGACCTCCATTTGCAGTGATTTTAAAAAAAATTCAATTTTATTTTTGGATTTGTATCTGATACTTTGAATAGTGCTGCCCTCTTGTAGAAGCAAGTAAAAAATTATATTTATCGAGATTGACGAGAACAGCGACCTGAAACCACGTGGGATATGTAGTCATGTCCCTTGCCCTCTTGTTGTATACCATCGTAATAAGCAGAGTCCTCCCCTCCCCGTCGCTCCCACGTAGTTTCTGGAAGTTCCCTATATTGGAGAGGGCCTTTTTATTATTATGATCGGAAAATACATGAGAATGTATTTTCCATCGGCATCATGTCCTGCACAACTCGGCCTACACCACCATTGCAACCAAAGTATATTATTACCCTACATCCTATTACTGTTTTCTGGATCCCCACTGTAAGGACTGCCCTAATATGTATTGTTAATATGCAGAAATTAGGGAAGACCATTGGATATACCTTAAAACATATTGTTTCTTAAGATTAGATTAGAAACAAATCGCTTATTGGTCTGAAATATAAAAGAAGACCACACCGTAGGAATATACTCAGTCGATGTAATTAAAAAAAACTTCATCATTTATCGGGAAACTCCTTATTCTTCTTCTTTAAGTGTCGTCTCCCAATCGGAGGTTATTGATAAGAGTTCTATAGAACTGCATTTAAACCAGTCCCTTAAATACTTCAACCATGACACTCTCCTTCTTCCTATAGGTACTGCTTCCTCCTCTTATCTTTCCCTGTATTATCAGCCTTAGCAGTTCATATCGCTGTCCCCTCACTACGTGTCCCAGATACTGTAACTTTCTTATTTTTATTGTGTTTATTATTTTGCATTATTTGCCCATTTCTCACAATACTTTAGTGTTAGTTTTCTTCTGTGTCCATGCTATTCTAAGCATCCTCATGTAACACCACATTTCAAAGGACTGTAACTTATTTGTGTTCTTGCTTTAATGTTCAGCTTTCAAGTTCATATTTCAGTATCGAAAACACGTAGCATCTCAGTGCTGTTACTCTCAGTTCTAATCTAAGATCTTCGTTGCAGAGAATTGTTTTCGTTTTTACAAACGCATTTCTTGCTCTTTCTGTCCTAGCTCTTATTTCGGTTGTTTGATCATTATTGTCTGAAATCCAGGTTCCTAGATATTTGTATTTATCAACCCTTTCTATCGGTATATTTCCCAAATGTATGGTTGTTGGTATATTTGCTTTCTTTGTTATTATCATGTATTTGGTCTTTTTTATATTCATTTTTATTTAGTCCATATTTTTCACTGTTTGTTTTATTTAGAAGTAACTGGAGTTGTTCAGCAGAGCTTGCCGTAATCACGGTGTCATCTGCATATCTTATGTTGTTAATAGATCTGCCGTTAATTATTATTCCTTCACTTTGAGATAGTAATGCTTCTTCAAAAATGGCTTCACTATATACATTAAATAGTAATGGGGACATAATACATCCCTGCCTAACTCCTCTCCTGATTTATTTCTGGACTGGGTTCGTTATCTATTACGATTTATGCTCTTTGATTCAAGTAGAGGTTTGTTATTATTCCTAAGTCCCTATGGTCTTTGTTTTTTGTCTTTAGAATTTGGACTAATTTTTCATGTCTCATTTTGTTCGTTGATATACGTAAATATTTTAGTTTATTTAGGAATAAAAATTATTTTTCTTAAGTAGTAATGTTAACAAGACGTGTAAAGTCATAAAAACTTTCATTCATTCATTCTAAATGCATTCGGCTGGTACAATAATGCAGTAAAATACTAACAAGTATAGCGTGTTCGGTAAATCTTAATTAAAATTACTGATCTTGTCCAATAAAAGTATCGTAAATTATTTTATGTGAGTTAGAAATAGAAATCCTTAATGCTTTGATATCTGTTTTCAAGGTTTTGTGTTGCGCTGTCTCTAAAAAGTAAATAGTGGAATATTTTGAGAAGGAATTTTTCTTGATAAGTAT